GTGGGGTTGTTGCACCCGTCTTCAGCCCCATATTCGCGTAGTCCGACTATTCCAGTCAGGGTTAGACGGGGCTCTGCGCCTTGGTTTGTGTTGATAGCAGCAATGGTGTCTGCAATCTTGCGGAGTGGCCAGATCCTGTATTTAAACTGAACAAAGAAGGCCTGAGTGTTGAAGGGCCAATTTTTCGTCCGGGCATTCGGTTCAGCAGAATGCTGCTAAACTGTTGCACGTGCTCGTGCTGCATTGAGGTAAAGGTCAAGTCGACTGAAGCAGAAAGGCGCCGCCAAACAACGGCTGTGGTCGTCAATCGACATAGTCTATGTAGCGCCATACACCATATGGTGGACTTGAAGCATCGTCGTTCAGCTGCTGAGTGCCGACTGCTCGCAAACAACACCATGTCAGATTGTGCATGTTGCTCAGTTTCTTATGGCTCAGCAAAAAGAGCATACTGTTACACCCATTCAAGCTAAGCCCACACCTCTACGTCGGCGCATCTTTGCCTCCTGAGCTACATCTCAACAACGGTCACACTGCACGCATTCACGTGTACCTCGCTAGGTCTCACCCTCCCTGTTTTCAGGTTCCGGCGGGCTCTGGTCGTCCACACCTGTCCATGGATTCTGAAACTGGGTGTTCAAGCTAAGTGCTTTGGCGACCTGCAGAATGCAAATGCTTCGACACGCAGAGCCACTGCGGAAGTCCTCGAAAGTCCCAGGAGTCTCCTCTGTGACGAGGTGGCCGGCTTTCCTGCGTGGAACAACTCCGAGGACTCGCACTCGACGTGGCGAGGGGCCATTCGTACATATACATTTATGTATAGATATATAATATGTACATTTACATATATATATATATATATACATATATATATATACACACACACACATATATATATATATATAATTTGTAATGCAAGCTGTCCAGGTCAATGACAGGATCTGGAAAACTTGGAGGCGGAGACTGTTGCAGCAGCGGCCCCAGTCCTCGTGTCGAGTCAACGAAACAGACACCTAGGGTTTAGGGTTTAGGGTTTAGGGTTCTTCTGCAGCCGCCAGAAGAGGCTTACTGTTATGATGGTCCTGATTCTTGTTATTCTGATGAGGATGTTTAGGCTCAAGATTAGAATCACCCTCAACAACTCAGAAAATCTTGGCGCTGGGCGCTTGCCCTTGTGAGCTCGATGTGCGAAGAGGGGCTCCAACTCAATCGCAAGGCAACGGTTTCGACTCCACTGAGACTTAAAACTCGCCCGAGAAAAGCACATGCTATGGATGTAGACTGTCTGTTGTAGAAAGGTATTTGTATGAGTTATATAGATATGAATATGATGTATATTCTGTACATGTACTGTAGGTAGATAGATAGATACTGTGCATTATAGATACAACCGTCTATTCTAGATATATACCTAACACGGATGTATATGTGTATGAGAAATCTGGCATCCCGAGAGCGCGACTCGATCCACGCGTTCGAAGATGCGGGTCACAGCAGGAGGCATCACCATGGCCCTTTGGGCATTCCTGCACTGCCGCGACACCCTCAGAATAGCTAAGTTCTAGTTTCACCGGAAGGCAGCAATGACGGCAAGATGCTTTTTATCGACCGAGCGAAGTCCAAGCATATATATATATATATTATATACACATGAATGTAGAAGCCTATATGATTACCCATGTCATTCCTTAGGCTTAGGTCTCCGTATTACAATTGTGTTGTATTTGCCGCCAGATCCCAGCTCTCTGGAAAAGTCTGCAGACCTACATGTACACAAACATATGTATGACATACATACTGTGTGACGTGCACATAATGTCTGATGTTCTCCATCGGCATCGACAAACTGGCACTCCAAATGACGATGCAAATTGCACCGTCGCCAGCTATGGAAGTATGGGCTGTTGGGCCATCCTGTGGCTGCTTTGTTGTGGAACGCTCCCGCGCGGCAAGAAATTTAGCCCTACTCAAGCTCAAGGTTGCCATGCGACGCAGCTTTGCTATACCTTTGGATGGTTTCAGGTATATGCTTCTCGGTTGGGAGCACAGTCTCTGTCAGCATGCCGGGCTATTGCAATACCTACATGGTTCCCCTCCTGCCCTGCTCAAAAGATGTGTTGGCCTTCCTTGCACCGAGCTGTTCTGCCACTGAATTCTTTTGCTTCATGAGCATGTGCTTTCGCTTTTCTTCGCATCTACATGGTTGATATGAGTGCTATGGGCGTCAACTCTGGAGTACTAGAACGTATGTGATAGACTGCTAGTACAGTAAGTGGCTCGTTCTCCGTAAGACAGGCAGACTCATCAATTCATCACGACATCAGCGCAAAGACATCATTTCCGTGATGCACTAAGCGTTTCAACAAATCGCAAAGCTTCCAACCTTCTCTTGCAACCGATCCTCGACACTAGTTCGTCTTATCCGAACTTCAATTAATGTGGAGGTTTGGTCAATTCCATACCTTGAGAGATGATAGACGTGTTCATTGTTCCCAACGTCACTGAATTCTGCAGGCTTCCACTTCCTAACATCACCCTGACCCTGACACTCTCAGGCACGGATTTTGGAACAGGATCGGTATCTGGAGTTTGAGACATCTACCCAGGGATGGCTGCGTCCTAATAATGTGGAGCTCAGCACATGCACTTCGCTCTGTAACAGTTTGGCTCTGCCGGGTAACGTTAGTGGAAGATAAGTGCATCTACACGACGTCGACGCACACACGCACACGCGCACGCACCGAACCTCATCTGAGAATCAGGCATGGGCGACTCTTCCCTCCGCCCTCTGTCCATGCCACCCGTCTAAGTCAGGATGGATTCAGCGGCCATGTTGAAGACTAGCTAAACACACTCAGGAAGAGCCGCGTCGGAAATCAGGCATCATGCAAGCATATGATCACATTGCGCATGCTGAAGCTGAGGTATGCAACTCAAACGCCCGGCAAAGCCTGTTCTGCGAAGGATCGCGAGTCGAGGTTGGACAAAGCCAGGTTGGACAAAGCCGTGTGTCGAACAGCATCTTTGATGCCGCCGTGGGCATGGCAGAGCTGTGCTGCCTCATTCTGTTCTGTTCTTGCAAGAAAAACTTGCAGCTTTTTGCTACGTTGAAGAAGCTGCGGGATGCCTTGTTCGGCTCCGCTCGCTAATTAGTGGCCGCACGGCTCACTTTAAACATCCTGCGAAGGCTGGGCAGCCTGTGTCCCCTCGTGCTAAGTATTGCTGTGTCCTTCGTAGAAGCCTTGGCTCTTAGCCGTCTTAGCCTCTAGCCTCACCTCGTAGCCCGCCCAGCCTGCAAGGGCATCTCCTACAAAGAGACAAGACAAACGGCGTCCTGCTCTATAGCCGCGTGCTCCACCTGATTGCAATGGTCATTGACCATCAGCCGGATTCGCTGAGTTCGATTCTCAACGCGGTGAAGTAGTTGGCGTCGGCGTCCTCGCTCTGGCCATTCTGAAAAAGAAAATAGGCGCGTTCCAAAACGCGCTGTTCCATGCTGCACCCCAGGCCGCGCTCGTAGGCCTCCCGGGCCATCTCCTCAGTAACCTGCAGGACAGCCCCCACTCCCCAACTTCAATCCGAACAATCTTCTGTGGCCACCCACTACCCCGCAGAACTTCAGCAACTGACTAAAAGCAACCTACCTGAAACGAAGAGGAATGATGGACCATCGTGCCGGAAACTTCGCCACGGGAAGCCAGGCTTGCTGGCTCGCCCGCGCTGGAGCTGGAGCTGGAAGTGGAGGCTGATGCTGTAGTGGAGGATGCTTGCTGAATACCCTTATCATGCTTGTCATCGTGCTTCCTCTTTCTTCCATGCCCGTGATGGGCATCACTGCTGCGGTGGTGGGCTTCACTGCTGCGGTGGTGGGTATCATTGCCGCGATGGTGGGATTCACTGCCGCGGTCGCGGTGGTGGGCCTCACCGCTGCGGTGGTGGGCATTACTGCTGCGACGGTGGGCATCGCTGCTGTGGTGGTGGGCGCTGCTGGGGTGATGCTCCTCCCCACTTCGGCGGCTGCTCTCCATCTCAACCGCAGGCACTGCGTGCTGAGCTGTGCTGCCGTTTGGAGCAAACAAGAAGTTGGACAAAGACTGTGGAGGGGGCTCTGTCTTGTTTTCAGGAACTGGTGGGAGGAACAAGAACTCCGAAAAGCTAGAGCTCTGCGCCGGCACGGGTTTGGTGGCTGTGGACGCCTTGGATGCTGACGACCGAGCCGACCCTTGGGCTGCCATCGTCTTTCCCCGGAGCTTGTCTGCTGTTCCGGAGGCTTCGGGAGCCGTTGCGGACCGGGGTCTGGGGCTGATTGACCTGTGGTCGACATGCTCCGAGAACCGAAGGGTCTTCTGCGGTCTGGGCTTCGTGGGATCCCTAGTAAGAAGTGAAGATGGTAGCGTGTGCCTCCTGCTGCTGGCATCGGGCTTCACGCTTACCGGCACCTCTGTTGCTGCTTGAAAACGCAGCGGCAGCGGAGGACCATCCTCCAGCAGGGTCCGGCAGCTCCATGCCACTTCCCGCTTCATGACGGGTCCTGGAACGCTGTCTATGCCTGTCTGAGTCCCACTCGCCATGGCGCTCCCCGTCTCCGTGATCTTGTCCCCGGAAGCCTCTCACGGAACCAGGCCGGCAGGTAGACAGCAAACGATTGGCAGATGTGTCTACCCCGTGTTATGATCGTGCCTGGGCCTGGGGCACAGTCTGAGCCGTGTGGCCGAGCGGATCCTGCACTAACGGTTTTGGAGCTTTCAGGGTCAGAGGCGGTCAACCATTTTCTGGCGTGGTTCAACTTCGACTGCGGCAGTCCTCCAGCAAAGACATGGACCCACGCCGCTGTAGGACATCAGCCGCGGTGCACGACCCGCCAATGCCGGCAGCATGGCTGGGTTTGGCCAAGCCGGCAGACGGATTGACCAGCTGTGAGTCCGTGCTGGCGCGCTCGATTCGCATGCTCATCTTCTTGTCGCTGGAATTCACCTCTTCATTCTCACAGAACTGTCCATAAGCTGGAAGGAAGACTGACTAAGGACACAGGGCAATGAGCACAGGCGTCCATCCCGCCTGGGGATCGGTCTGCGACACCACGCGGACGTCCAGCTTCTGCTTGGGCGAATCCTGCTCTGACTGTTTTCAGGGTCGGGGTTTTACGGGGAGTTCCTGCCATGGTTCTTCTGTCAGTCCTGAAGTGCAGCCTCGTGCCCCTGCCGTGAGAGTTCCGGCGACTTGTTTTCTGTTCCCAGGAGGGTTCCCGCCGTGTTGCTGCTGGCAGCTTGGATACTTTTGACCCCGCCGGCGTACGGGTTGACCACTGATCCTGCTGTGCTTTGCGAGGCCATCTTTGCCGGAAGCGTGCCACTGCGCGCTGCGGCTGTGGCGGCTGAAGAGGCTGTAGAGATCTTTGCATTCACAGAGCTTGCCGGTACGGACGCCACGCCTGTGCAGCCTAGCTTCTCCTTCCAGCCCGGGTATATCTCGTCTGCTTCCTTCGGGAAAGTGAGGAAAGCACCCTTGATCTCCTCGTGGGTCTTGGCGAACTCAACAACGCCATCACTTAAGCTGACGTTGCCATACTGTCCAGACTTCCAGGCCTTCCATGCTTCCTCAACTTGGCGGCAAGCGATTGCACCAGATGCCGGTCCATCCTTGTGGCCGAAAGAACCGCTGGCCGCAGTCAGGATCACGTTGGAGTGGCCCAGGCTTTCAAAGAAAGCAGGCAGGCGGAGAGCGTTCATGCTACCAGCATTGCTCGAAGCACTCTGCGTCATGCCCTGGCGCCTTTGATCGAAAATGCGGGCATCGGCCACGTCGTCCTGCAGCATGACAGCGATACTCTTGCCTTGGGATTCCCTTTGCATCTCGCCGGAGCTCATGGTGTCGGCGTGGATGCTGGTGGAGCTGATGACTTGGGAGATCTTTGTGTGCACAAAAGCAGAGTAGCCGCGCTGGGTCTGGGGGCTGCTTGTGGATGCTTGTCCTGCACGATGGTAATGCACGAACTGCTTGGGGAAAGTGTGCTGGGCACTGCCTCCCGCTGCATATCCTGCCACCAACGAAACACAATTTCCGGAGAAAGGTCCAAACTGTGATAGGACGTACTTTCCACGAGCATCCATCTCGTTTGGTTCAGCGTTGCCACCCGAATGCCTCTTAGCAGCATCAGTCCCTTGGGCGCACGACCTCATGGCCTTCACGACCTCCGGAATGCCCTCACTCGTCTGGCTGGGGGCCTGGTTTTCCTGCAAGTCGGCTGTGGTGTATGTT